GTGAAATTTAATCCCTACTTTGGCAGCTTTATACACCTATCTGTAGGCCAAAGTAAGGATTAAATCTTATAAATTTATGATTGTAGTTTTAATTCTTGTTTCATTACTTTTTGTAGGAGAATCCTACTTCATTTTAAAATTAATAATCTTTTAATACTCTTGTATAATGCATTTTTTCAATGATATAGGACTTAGAACTAAAGGACATAGCATTTTGAAGCTAGGAGTCTTGGGTATTCTCTGTGGAAGCAGGAAAGCTTAAATTGCTAAGTACTTAGGACAGCAGGAGGCTCTAAACCCCACCCCTAAGTCAGTCTTGAGCAACACCATCATAAAGTGAAGGCTATGATTATAGTACACAATCATCTAACCCAAAATGCAATTATAATGAATTGGGTATCATTAACAAGATCACAAACAAGTTCAGCAATTTTTGGCCATACCTCTAAATCACCGGCTATGTAAATGAGAAAGATAGGTGAAGAAACTGGGATCACCGCAGTCCCATTTAACCACATGTCTCAAACATCCCCTGTTACAGCTTTTATGAATTTTAGTCCCTTTAATCTGTTTAAACACGATCTTGTCTATGTCTAGTGGATGGCCTGTGGAAAGTTTGTTACCAGGGAACTTGTGATGTTGGGTGAAATTACATTTTTATTCAAAGTGCGAGTGAAAATGCAACTAACACATCTTGTTGTAAAACAATAAATGGGCTTCAGAATAAAACCAGACTGTGAGAAAAGTTGTGGAGTGGGTATAAATGACAAGTTTATTTTTCAAAGAAAGATGAAACAGAAATTTCAAATTAGAAAAGTATATTTTATCTTTTTTAAAAAGAAATAAGGTCATAACATTTTTGTTTTGATATATCAAATAGAATGCATTGTTGTCACATTCAACATATGCATATATAAGTTTCTCATTTTCAAAATTCTAATTTTGATATACAGTGACCCTCAATTTAGATGCTATGAAAACTAACAAGATGTAAAGATAAAGCCCTATCACAGAAACATTGGTGGGTGCATGTCTGCCTGTGTAAAATACATATTATATGCCTGTACATCCTCATAAATATGTCCTGGATTTTAGGTTTCCTTGTACAAACTATTTCATAATGTAGACTTGCTGTATCATTTACCTTAGTTTTCATAAGTTAGTTCAAGATAATAATTGTACGCAGTTCTTGAAGTTTATTTTAAAATACCTTCCACATTTTACCAAGATTTCCTGCATGTGACATTAGAACACACTTTTGTTGTGTTTACTCTATTTTTACATAAGTTAGCTATTTTGAGAGAATTGTATGAGAAAATCTGTTCTTTTTCTTGAAAATTTTAAACTTGCATTGTGATGCAATGAATCCATTCAGTTTTAATTGGAAAATAAATTTACTACATGCCCTATTCAATCCATATATATATATATTTCTTTTAATATTACTACAATGTTTTAAAAATTGTATGATTTTGAGAATATATTACATTGTATATTATTAAAAGCAAAACTTGTAGTGGAAAAATAAGTGTCAGTTAATGTTTTATGGATCGACATATTACATTAAATCACTGATCTTAATTGAGCTGTACATTTACACAGCATCATGGTTAATCAGAACAGACCTTTCTTTCACCAGATGTTTACAAAATGTAGGTGGATTATTTAAATCATTAATAAAAAATAATTAAATAAATTCATACTATGGGTTACTGACTTTTTCTCTAGTATTAGTAAGTAAAAAGTGAGGCCTGCTTAACTTAATACTTCCTTATATAATAGATTTTTATTACTAACAACTTTACAGAAAACTTTAATGTTTTTGAACTTCAAGGGCGATCCACATGTGTTCAAATGCAAGTGCAATTTTGTATTTCTTTATCAATACTTTATAAACATGAGCTTTCTTCCTTTTCTAACGTTTGTTAGCAGTCATATAATGATTTTTAGCTTAAATATTTGCTTTTAAGTATGAAAAATTATCTTGCTTTTTTAACTTTCATTGTTGTGTTTGTTTCATTTCTGTTTTCATTATTATTATTTCAAACTTATTTGAATTTTGTTACATTTTAATATTTATTATTTTTATTTTTGGTTCATTTTTGTATCCATTGGTACCATTTTAACAGCATAAACTACATTACATTTTAATTTTACATTTCAGTGTTTTAATTTTTGTTAATGGTACAGCTTTCATTGTTGGCATTTCAGTTTTTAGAAAGTTTCTTTTTACATTTTATTGCTCATTTTGTTACATTTTTGTTTTTGTTGTTAAAATTTCTAATTTAGCATGATTTTTTTATTCATTTTGTTTCATTTCTCTTTTTCATTGGCAATATTTAACAGCACAAACTTTGTTACATTTTAATGTTCATTATTGTTTTTGATACATCTTTCATCATTAGCATGATTTTTTCCAGCTTCTATTTTCAATGTTTATAATTATTTCAGTTTTCATTATGAACATTACAACATTTTAATACTCATTTGCATATATATATATATATATTTAAAACTATATTTCAACATTACACTTTTTAGCACAAACTTTATTGAATTTTTTGTGTCCATTTATATCAGTGTTTTAATTACAAATCATAAGTATCCAAAACATTTAGTCTAGTATGCCAACATCGGCTGTTTATTTAAATATGGAATTCTAATGAACACTTAGAGCTACGTGAACAATTTCTTCAGATTAAGAGCATGAAAGTGACTAGAAACATCATTCATCTTCCAAACTACCTGGATATATTATCCATACAACATTCTAAATATTCTTCTGATGTTTTGCTTGACAAATATGCCTCTCAAACAACAAATTAAATTTTAATTTTTGTCATAAGTTAGTTGATACAAACAGACATTTTTCAGCTTTATCTCAACCTTACTGAATGAGTGTTTATCAGGTTAATCTCATTGCTTTTCTTCTTTGTTTGAATTGCACATTTATGTCACACTAAAGTATACTTGAAACACACAAATACATAATCCAAGTACTACTAAATTACATGTTTTATGTGTATATCATGATAGAATAAACAATAACTGCATTAACATATACAGCATTGATACAAGGTTACTGTTAAATTACATTGTTTAAAATTCTCATAGCAATGTCTACCTACAAGAAACTTTTTAAGATAAAACTTTAAGTTGTTTCGTTTTTTAGTGCAGATGCTCATGAGTTAATATATACCACATTGATCTATCTGTATAACATATTTAGGTAAGCAAAGTGCTGAACTAGGTTGTTTAAACTGTAACCATATATCATATATTGTTAACTTCAATTTTTACTGCTGACCTTGTTTAGTATTATACAAGTTTGTTGCTGAACAGCATTATTTAAACAATACCTGTAAACCACATCAGAACACACCTGAACTACATTAACACATGTTGTAGGAGCAGATTGCACAGTTTTTTAACTCAGTTTTTATTACTGGACACATGTTAGTAAAAAGAACTTTTTAGTTTGTGATTGAGGTAGAACAGACAGTTTTAGCTGACATTAGTTTAACAGTTTTTAAATCTCATAACTCCTCAAATTATACATCTTTTGAAAAAGTTGTTGCTTTTAAAACTACAAGTCTTACAACTTCCACACATGCACACATATCTGTAAAAATGATTTTTCTACATTTTAAGCAAATGTTTATTGATGTATTACATTTTTTCTAACATTTATAGCTGAAGATTAGTTCCAACTGATTTTTTATTGTAGTGTGTTGCATTCGTAAACTGTTATTCAAGCAGTTGTATGTTCACCATTAGAATTCTACTACTTATAGCTGAAGGAAATTTTTTAAATGATTCATTAACTGTGTATTCATCAGCAAACTGACCAGTGTACATGTACTGATCATCTCAGACTCATAATAAGGTACTTGAAGTTAACTGAATAGAGAGCATGTTACCTAGGAAACAGAAGAAACCAACATAAACCCTGACTTTCTTGAGGGTCTGGTAGTTGGGATGGGAATGCCTGAAGCAAGGGTTACAGTCAAGGAGGCAAAAGTAACTAAACCCAAGTCCCCTAGTCCCTCCCCTCATCTAAATGAAAAGCATCTGTTATACAAATTTGATAAGGTTTGTTTTGTTTGCTTTTTTTAATTTTTTTACAAAAATAACTGTGTTTTATTGTTTTGTTTCCCTCAAAGATTTTTTTATTTATTTATTTATAAGCAAGAAATACTATGTTTATCTATTTGTACTCAAATTACTTTGGCTTGTTTAGCCTTTCTGTCTAACTGTGGAAAAATTGTAGACATCTGTACAGTTAACATTGTTCTATTTTCTGTATAAACACCTAATAATGTCAGTTTATGTATGCTTGTTCTATAAATATAAAATCATGCAAATAATTGAAAGTTTTTTTTTGGGGCTAAGTTAATTTATACAGAAATGTGATTGTCTGTTTAAAGGAAAAATTAACAAAGGATAAAACTCGGATGCAGAATTTTCCACCAGAAGTTTCTACAAGGGTAAGATATTGTCAGGTTAATATAACTTCCTGTACAAGTGTAAATTAGATATGCTCTCTTTTTTTCCGAGTTGCTTTTGATGATTAAAATATATGTATATATTGTGATTATTCAGGTAAACACTGGAATTCTACATGCTTATAAAATTTTCTTTACTCGGCAAGCTTTCAGAATACATTGCATTCACCTTCATCAAGCTTAGATGATTCCTCAGTAAGCTTTTTTTATCTATCTATCTATCTAAAAGTACATTATGAGCCTTAAGCAACATAGAGAGATATCTACATAAGACATAAAACTGTAACATCTCAGCTTATAAAGCATCAGTGTAGATGACTGGGTTGAAGTCCCAGTCGAGGCATTGTGTTTTTTAATATATTTCTTGATCATTCCAGTATTGAGAAACTAATTGTCTGACTTTCAGCTTCATTATGTGGAAGTAATAAATAATTGAAAAATATGCAGTTTTTCTCCATACCTCTCTTATTGAAGTTTCAACTTTTAATCATTTTATCCTGATATCATCAAAACTCCCACATGGTGAATTGAAACAAGTAACAAAAGCCTATCTGATTATACTTTGTCACCTTTCTGTGGTTTTCCATTGTTTTTGTAATACTTGTTTGCATATAATCACATGTCCCGTGCACTAATAAGTAGTAGTATTAGGATTTGCATCTTCAAATAAAAATTTGATTGTGTACTCTCTTTTTTCTTAGTTTTAACTGAAATCTTGAGCATGGTTTGATGTGCTAGAGAACCTGTAATAGGATTTCTATATACATAAATATGATTGTTTGTAGAAAATAAAAACTCTTTTCTGTTTGAAACAAATCTACTCATAGATTGTAAATAATGTTTTGCATTAAAATGTTAATCCTTATGAATATCTTTCACACACAGGCAAGTTCGTGATTATAATTAGTTGTACAAAAACTCAGATCTTCTATAAAAATAATTTTCTCCAAGACGATAACTCACCACCTCACACAGATATTCTATCTTTCTCTTGTATCTGCCTATGAGATTTGCATTCCACTAGCTTTGAGGTAACTTCCACCTAAATTCATGTGTTTGACTTGAACTGTACTTGTGCATGATGACATTATCATACAATAAAGGCCCTTCACCAATAGAAGGGTGTCACAGTCTCTGTGCACAATAGTTCCCCGCTATGTATTTGCACTCATGATAGCTATATTCTTCTCTTCAGCATTGCATTAAACAGACATGTTCAGAATTTTTTGTCTGAGTTCAATTTCATGAGATTTGCATTTGTTAATTAATCTTTTGTTTCAAAAGCATTAACTTTTTACTGTGAATTCTCAAATGATGGTGACTTATACTTAGTACTGTGTGACAATATTACACACACAAGCCTTATTTCTACTGTGGCTTTTGAATGCTCATTAACTGTCAGGGACGTTGCAGCTGTTGTTCAATGTGTTGTAGTTTACCACTTACATAATGGGCCTCCTACTCCTATCCCATCAGCCAAAGTTCTTTCTCCTCTATCAGGAATGATCTATTGAACTATGAATTTAATCTGATTTGCTTTGGGTAGTGCCTTACCATTTGAGGAATAACCTTTACCTCTCGATCTATTTCTGAATTTCATTCTCAGATTCCTTTCCTTATCTTTCACCTGTGTCCTTTAATATTTCTCACTTTTACTCCATGATCCCAATTCTTAGGGCTTACCTTGTCTTTCCTCTTTGCTTGTTATTAGGGTTTATACTGTATCCTTTCTATATTAACTCATCTCTCACACCCAAATTCCTCATCTCCCTCATGTTTGTGACTTTTTATTCTGACATGTAGACATTCTTCCTTTTCTTTTTCAATTCCCTGTCTTTGGTATCTATTTGGCTGGCTTGGGATCAGGCTTCTTGCCTTCTGTTTCACTCTCTGGTTGCCCATTTTTGCATCTTCGTCTTTTTCCCAACACCTTTCTGTATTCCCTCTCCTACCTCCACCTTTTGTCTGAGGCACTTCATTGTGCTCCAAAGGGGTTTTCTGTAGATGTTCATTCCTTTCTCTTTGCCAGCTTAGCCTGTTCCACTTCTTCTGCTCTGTCCCTCGTTACCTTGATGTTAGGACTTGTTGGGTTGGGATACATTCCTCTTTACTGTATACCTTTCTCCTTCTTTTGTACATGGTCTTCATCATGCTCCCTTTCTTTGCTCAGACATTTTTGGTGGTGTACATTTCTTTCTGAAGAACAATACTTATGTTGTACAATTTTAGCCCTCATTATCTTTCCAGGTTTTTCTTCTATCTCAAACTTGTCCTTTACTGTTTATCGTCTGGATCACTCTACCCCTAACCTTCTTATTCAAGGTTCCAGGCTTTCCTCTTTTTCTCTTCTTCTTTCTACCAGACGTCTAGTTCATTACTCTTCTTGTCAGTGACTACCATGTAAGGTCTGACCCTGTTAGTACCCATCTCTTCCTTTTCTCCTGCTGTTGGTCTCATTTTCTACTGAGAGTCGTTTTTCATTTCTCCACCACAGTCTCTTTTATCCCTTCTCTTTTCTTCGCTCCTCTTCCCATTTTCTTTTCTCCTCCCTCCAACCAAATCTATGGTCTTTTTTTCACTCAATCTCCAGTTGGCCATAGTTGATGTGTCGGACAGATTCCTGTCTTCCCATTCCTTGCTCTTTCTTTCAAAATAGTGTTGGCCCATTTTGTATTCATTTGTATCAGGATTCATTTGTATATTCATGGCCTGTGGCTGGTATTCCTTTTTCATGGGCAGTTGACTTCTGTTAGCCCATTCTTGGATGGTATCCTCTTTCCACACCTTCTTCTTTTACAGGAAGCTACTTGGTTTGGGTAGCTTGTCATGAGATCTAAGTCCTTTCTTACACCCACTCAATATTTGGGACTTATGGGCATTTTTTTAATCTATTGTCTTAGCGAAGTTCAGCCTTCTCCTTTTTGCCTGTGAACTCTGGCATATCTGGTCACCAGGATTTGCAATTCTCATTCTGCATGAAAAGTTCTTTTACTTTTGGGACTCTGTCTTCCCTGGAACACCTCATTCCTCTGGGATGCACATACGTCTGCCTTTTTCCAGTGGTAATTGTGGATCCAATGGACTTATTCTCAGATTCCATTGTCCTCATTTGTGAACTTCCCCTCTCCTTGAAGAATTGTCATGGTGACTAGACTGTTCCCACACTATTTCCATGTTCTTTTATCAATTACCAAGCCATATATATCTCCTTACTGATGCTTCTCTCTCTCAGATTGAGGCAAATCTCTAGATTAGGACATGACTTCTGGCATTTGGACACAGGATGAGCATTCACTCCAGATCACTGTGCTCGAACTTCTCACTGTTCATCGGGCATGTTCCGATTCCTTCCCCTATTGGTGAATCACTTAGTCATGATCCACTCCAACAATTCCACAGTTATTTCTTATACCAACCATCCAGGAGACACCTATTCTAGGACCCTTTGCATTTGGGCATTGGATCTAATCTTCTGGGCTTCAGATCAGATTTACCTTATTGTCTGTCATTTGTCAGGAGCTAAGAACTTGGTGGTGGATTCCATTGCTTGAGCAGTTTGCATTCTTCCAACAGAGTGGTCTCTACATCTCCAGGTATTTATTGGGTTTGCTTTCAGTTGAACATGCATCTTGTAGATGCCCTTGCCACCCTTCACAATTCTGGACTTACTCTCTTCTGTTCCTCATCCTTCAGCCATGGCTATTAATGCTGTCAGCCAGATCTGGTCTCACTTCTTTCTATTTGCCTATCCCCCTCTTCATCTCCTCTTGGTTCCTCACCCTGATATGCCTCACTTCTTGTCGGGCCCATTGTTGGGGACTCTTTGGGCAGCTCAGCCTCTGTTCCTTTTCTTAACATCCAAACCCCCATTTCCATCTACGTAATATCGTCTCTTTATTACTTCAACCTCAAATGCCCCTTTTTTATTGAAGGATATTATCCTTTGACCTTCATTTGTAGGATTTGTCTGGTCCATTGCCCATAAGACCAGACTCTCCAGTTATATGCCAGTTTTCTTGCCAGATTCCTGTCCTGTCACTCTTCCACTTTGCTTATCAATGAAAGTGGAGGGTCTTTAGTTGTTGGTCCACCCACCACTCATTTCCTCCTGGTCATCCCACTGAAAACTACCTTTCTTCCTTTTTACCTGTCTGTTAGTCCATGGTTTGTCAGTCATCTCTCCACAATTGCTGGTTATCGTAAAGTCTTGTCCATTGCATTTTGCCTTTCCTGATACCACAGGGTGTTTCCTCCCCTGTCCTTTCCACTTTGTTCCTCTCTTTCGTTCTTCTTCGTCTTCCTCACTTAACTCCAATGCCTAAAAGGGTCCTTACTGTGGTTTTTAATGCTCTCAAGCATGCTATGTTCAAACCCTTTCTTGCTCTTTATACTGGCTTTCTCTCCAGACTTACTTCCTCCTTCTTGCCTGTGATTGCTGTCATTTAGATATCTATGCTGTGGCTGTCTATTGCACTTTCTTCCACCACAGTTATATACTCCTCTCTCCTGACTGAACTTTGCTTCTTAAGACTTCTACTACTTGGGAAGGTGACCATACTTTATCTTCTATCTCCCTTCTGTATCTCAGCTATATGATTGTTCAGACCCAGATTGGCTCCAGTATCCTGTTCAGGTTGTTTGGTATTGCTTACCAGAGACTTCTCTCTCCACCATTTTAACATGGGATTCTAGCATTTTAATGTGTTAAGATGGGTTATCGTTTTAGAAGTTAACATTTTCCTTACCTGAAAATGTATTTCTGATGGATACCACCGTACACATTCCCACCTGTCCTCCTTACTTCCAGTGCACATTTTGTTGTCTTGTCTCATCAAAGAATGAAGTTTTCACAAGTGCAAATGCATATTGGGAGTTATTGCACATAGAGATTGTGTCATCCTCCTATTTGTGGAGGACTTCATGCACCATCATGTCATCATGCACCAGTGCATTTCACGTCAAACATGTGAATTTAGGTGGGAGTTACCTCAATGATAGTGGCATGCAAATCTCATAGGCAGATGCATGAGGAAGATAGATATATCTTATAATATCCTTTTTATTTGTCTGTTGTTGTTATTGTTTAATCTGTTGGTTAGTTTCATGTGTCTTGTGCTGTTTCAGAGTGATACAGACACATCTGTAGAGCTCCCTCTAGCAGTAAAAGCAGTGCCTAAAAGAGTTATGATTAGAAAAGGTAAGTAATTGTCAGTAATTCAACTATTATGTTTAGAGATGTACAGAAAACTAGCTATGTATCATAAACTGTACAGCTAAACTGATGTATTTTCTGATAGCCACTAAAGAAATACTTATACCCAGCATTTATATATACAAAGAAAAAGACATAAAAGAAACTTGTAATTATGTGTAACTTGTCGATTATCATTAGAACACAAATTAAGCACAATTGATTTCTGCCAAAATGAACTCTCTAATTTTAAATATTTTAATTCACATATAAATAAAGGTGATTATTTATGATCACACCTTGAGAGAAATACATGAAAGTTTTACATGGGACAGAATTTGTTTTTAATCAAATTTCCTTATCTTAATAATCAGAAATATTTTTAGATGGAACAATATCCAGTACACAATTTATAAAAAATCAATCAAATGATACATTTATGAAAGTAAAGTTTGAATGTCGTCTACACTTTACTTTTTTAAAGTATAGGAATAGATTATTTTTCACAAATTGTAAGCATAGGTTATCAGTAGTTTCTCATATTCTGGTTTTCAGAAACCTTAATTTTTTTATGTTTCTAACTTTGTTTCTCTAATACATATTATTTTAGTTGCTTGATGGTTGCTTTTGACGTCACGTTGTTTAATTTATGTTATAAAAAAAATAGTAACCATCTCAGAAATATTTGTTTTAGAGATTACATTAACTTTTACTATCATGTATAGCTTTATAATTGCTTATTAAATCATAAAAATATTTATTTCACTAAGCATGGTCCTTTAATCCTATCTTAACCAGTGAGCACTTTTAAGGTGTTGAGTGCACACCTGCATATCAAATTGAAAAATTTAATCACAAATTATAATTCTTGATCTATTTCAACAAATTTTATTTCAAAAATAATTTAAGTTGATATTTTGTCATTTTGTAACACTTACTTAGAGGAATTCACAAAGAAAAATGAAAACATCTTTGTCTTTTATTTCTACACGGCTTGGGGAAGTCTTGTCTGTAGACAGTGCAGTTATCAATTTTTGTTTATAATTTTCTACCCATCCCATCTAATGTAGCTATCCTCCCTTTAAAATGTACTGATTCATTTCTTGTTTCTCACATGATTTTACTTCTCTGTTGGTAGTTTTATTACTACAGCTCTTCATTGCCATCCTTTTATGATGTCACAGCATGTGGTTTGAACAATTAGTAATGAATCATAGTTTTGAAAATAGCATGTAACCAATGTTTGCATACAATTGTATAAAATGTTATGAGTTAAATAAATTCATATATATATTTGTCCATGTATTTTTGGGATACAGATTCCTTAAGTTGTTGTTTTTTTCTTTCTGTATGAAATTCTGTTGTTAAAAATATATATACCTAATAAGAATTAGAATAGAAACATTGTCTGCATGATGAAAAACAACTGCTAATGTATGCTGTGTTTTTACACTGCATGAATCTTATTAGAATAAACTTATTGCCAGATTTAATAATTCAAACCTTAAAATTGGAAGCACTTTTTAAATAAGTCAAAAAAAGATGACTTAAATTATTTTACAACTGCTAAAGGTGATCTGATAAAACATTTTGCTATTTTGTCATTTACATGAATTTACTTCTTTGTCTCACCAGATTCCCAAGGAGATGCTTCATCAAGTGACCGATCTTCGGTCTCACCATGCACTGATGCTAAAACTTCTCAGTCTACAGGTGTAACTCAAAAGCCTGCTAAAATGGAATCCACAAATTCAACTAGTATTCAGGATTCTGTATCTACTCGTAGTGGTTTCTCAAAGAACTTAGGTGCAAAATCCACACAATTTAAGGAGAAGTTAAAAAGAGAAGAAAGTACAGATGGTGAACGAGGTTGTCACAGTGATCAGGAGATGTACCTCATGCATAGAGAGCAACTGGAATCCCAGTATGGACAACATGATGGGTATTTTAGTGACTGGGAAGCTGTAACTCAAAAAGAAATGTCTCATAGTAACCCCCATGCACCTTATTCTGCATCTATGTCTAGATCCTTTCACGAAGAGGAACAAGTTGCAATGAGAATACTATCAACTACTGCAGATGGTCAAGTACCAGCTGTTCACAATAGTTCTTCTCCCTATAATCATCCCCAAGGTCCACCATCTAGGTGGGAGAAAAGCCCTCAGAGATTATCTCCTGTGGCAATGGACTTTATTGATAACAGCTCTGATAGACAAGAACAACCACAAAATGTTGAAAAAGATCAGCAATCAAGACCCTCTCCTCTTCCTGTGAGTAAAGTTAAAATATACCAAGTGGCTTTCAAGATATATAGTTTTTATGCTGTATATATGTTAAGATTTATAACATAAATTATAATAGAATAAAATAATGCATTTAATGACTGAAGGTGAATTTTTCAATAAAAATAAAGTTCTTTACATTTGGAATAATAATGTATTGGTAGTTTGACAAATACACTTATGAAATAAAAAGAAGAACAGTTGTAAATTTCAGATGTATTTTTAAATTTTCAAGTGTTTACTAGAATAATGAACTCATTTTACAATTTAAAAATGATATTTCAAGTAATTTCAGTTTATCTCTGTAAAATATCAACTGAATGTCTGCAGGGTTAGTCCAGTTGACCAACTTTGCATTGAAGGAGGAATTCTTAATTCACTATGTACGTCTACACAAAATATGGCAAACTTTTAGTGAGATTTACAAGTCTATTGTAAACAAAAAATCAGATGGGTTGCAAAAGTATATGTACTCAACATATGTCTATGAATTGAAAACATCAGTCTCACTCGGACTCTGACAAGTCAGACCACAAGGCAATATTCATGTGAAGAAGAAAATACTTTTGGCCATTGTACAGTTTGCATGTTGGATTTACATAACCTCTAAACCTGAAAAATGCTAATTATAATTCTTTCAGTATCCCTATATATTTTACCTGGTATTTCTCTCCTCTACCACAAACTGTCACTAAATTCACAGTGTAGGGTAAAATGAATTGTTTATGACTCTGATACACTTTAAAAGGTCATGGCATGTGCACTTTGACCACCACACATGTAGATAGGGTTAAAAGAAAGCTGAAACACCACAGTAAATATGATTTTACAGTTTTGATATTAATCTTGAAGGATTTTCTGATGTAAAATTTTAAGAAAATGGAGTTAATAATGGCTGCTTCTTGTCTAAAATGTGTGCCTAAATAATGAAAACATTGTAATATTAAAATAAAAGGTTTGTCAAAGCTAATGTGTTAACTTATGGAAGAACTTAAGTTGGGATTTACAATCAGTATATTTGAAGAACATATTTCATGTATAAAGTTTGTGTTTTACATTGCTTGTAGAACCTTCAACTTCCTGGGACTGAGAACTCTATGGATATTATCCTTGTACCTGAAATGCAGAGTCAACTTGAATCCAGTTTATCTCATGGATCAACAGAACCTGTTAGAGTCCCACTACAGTCCCAATATCAGCATATGCAGTACAGTTTAAGTCAGTCTCCATCTTCTAGTACCATCCCCAAAAGGCCCATTGGAGTTTCTCCACCCATCAACAAAAGATTTCCTCTCCATCATTTGGCACCTCTTCAGGAACTGCCACAAATCATGCTTCCTCCTCAAGCCCCTATTCCCAGGCTTCATGCTCAACCACTGCCTTCTACAAGACCTAGATCACCAAGACTCTCCTCTTCTCAGCAGCTGGGATTTCAATTTGTTAGGGGTCCTCCACCTCCCCCTTACCCAGGCTTTTCTGCAGAAGTTCCTCCAAAGTTTCACAACACTGCACTAAGTGTTCAGGATTCACAAGTGTATCTTCCACAATCAAAAGTACCACCTCCAGCTATGCGCTATCCTCCAACTACTGTATACCATCATTCTCCAAGAGCACTGCCTTCACAATGGAATGTTCCTCATTATCCTACCTACTACAATGAATCTAAAGATAAGCAACCACTTTCTCTTGCTGCTGTCCACACTCGAAGTTCAAGACCTTCTAACCCCACTGGCTTAGGTCCAAGTTATCTTCCTAACCTTCAGCCTTACTCACCAGCTACTACTCATATGCACACTATTAGACCTGTTCAGGAAGTGTCATCTCATTTCACTACACCAACCACAGGGCCTCACACTACTCTTCCACAAGATGTTAATGAGACTGGTCAACCAATACAAGTCAGAAGGTACTATGCCCCTCCCTCCACCAGCTACAGAGTTTCTCAGGAAAGTATGTAGTCAATTAAGCCAATGTGATTATAAATTTAACCAATATAATTTGATACGTTTTTCTCTCTATTTCTTAGGGTTTAGGATTAGAGTGTTGTCTCACTGCAAGCAATACAACTGTGCAAAATGACACTGATATCATTTGTTTAACCATTAAAGACATCTAAAAACAAAACAGTTCCAAAAAATAGAGCATAACATAGAATTTCAAATGGTTTGAGTAATGTGAAGATATATAAGTTAAAACATGTACAAAAAATTTGGAATCCTGTTCATACCACCACTTTGTTAACTTGTAAATAATTAAACACAGATTTTATTGCATGTTTACTTTGCTCAAATTTCATTTTAGTCTAGGGGTTCCCTTGCATTTTCTTCCTGTGTTTGGGTTCAACCCAATATGATGTCAAGGTAACTGACAAAGAGTATACTATGTTCTAAATAGTTTAGTGAGTCAGTTATTCAAGAGACTGCTTAGTACCATTGGCAGCATAAGTACAGTAGAGAATCTTCATGAAATATCCACTAGTGAAATATCTGCAAAAAATTAACTTATTGTACAAGCTCATAACCAATTATAGCTTTTTCTGTCTAAGTGATGAAAGCATAATGCATGTACAAGAAAATCCTTGTTTTATATTGTGTATTCAACTTAAAAACTTGTAATAATGCCAAGTGAGTTAGAATTCAGCAACATTTTATAAATTTGCTCAGCACTAATACTTTTATAGATAAAACAATTTCATTTAAGTTGTAAGACATACAAGATCTTGCAAACCAAAGCCTTACCTGTATTGTATTATGCAGCATTGCCAGAAGGCAGACTACCTGTTGGTACAGGTCCTCAGGCAGGAGGTTCAGAAACTGACCAGCATAGGTCACAAGTTCAGTCAAGTCAGCAGTTTCAGAGGTACAGCCCAGTTGGAACTCCAGGATTAGCAAATCAACTGTCTGTAGCTCGAGAAGAATTTTTCTCTTCTGGTAATAGTAATGGCAGCTGGAAACTTGCAGTACCTCATACTGGAAGTCACCAAAACAGGCAAGCTAGTTGTAGCTCAGTGTCTGATAAAACCAGTCCACGACAGAGTAATGACATGGAATACTGCCAGTCAGGCTCTTCTGTGAATTCTTTTTGTCCATCTAGTGGCAGTGACAGACCAGCTAGTGTCCGTTCATCCCTTTCCCACCCCTCCTCAAGGCCATCATCCTTTTCAAGTATGAACTCCACATCTCCAGAGTGTTCTATGGGACAACTGCCTGGTCCACCTCATGGAGACCCACGATACTGTTATGCTAATGGATCTGAAGGATGTGGGAATGTTTCTTCTTCTGTTCAAGGCCCTTCTGCTAGAAATTTAGTGCCATCATCGAGAGAAATATCTCATTACCAAGATAAAGCACCATCTTCTTGTCCTCCTCCATTACCTCCAAAACCTTCCTTCCAAATATCTGGCTTAGCCAATGGAAAAATTCTGGACAGTCAGTCACATCTCCCAAATTACAGGTTATTACATGGTGGTACTAGAGAATATAGCCAGCCTCAAGAGCAGCAGCATTCAGAGCACATGGAGAACAATAAACATGTAGCAGAGAGATTGCATGATATTAATTTTTCTCCCATTTCAGTTGTCCCTTTCTCCAAAAGTGAAAACCAAGAGGGAGAACCTCTATCATGTCAGATTAAAAAAGTGACCAGAATTGTATCAGAAGGTGAAGATGCTTCCTTGTGTTCTAATAATGGTGCCAGAACTATAAATTCCCTTACAGCCTTAGAAACTCAGCTTTCTCCTAATGGTAGTGCTAATATCCCTTCTTCAGACAATTTAGTCAGTAGTTCTGCAAGTAAACAAGATAAAAGTCAACTTTCTCCAAAATCCCAGAAGAAGCCTATTACCTGGATCTTTGGTACTCACAAGAATCCACAAGTGGTATGTTGTATCCTTGTTAACATCTTTAATACTTTTCAAACTAAATTTGTGATATATATACAAAACATTTCTTGGCAAAAATGTTCAGTTCTGTATTGAGAGAAATATTGAAACTTTAGGTGGTATGCTTGAGTCATTTAAAAATAAAAATGTAAAATTTATATTTACAAAGATTATTGTTACAAGTGAAAAGTGTATCTGCTATTTATTATTTTAGAAAATAAATAAAGTTTAAATTTTAATATTTATGATTAATTTTTTGTTCTTTATAAGGTATGTACAACTGATATGTTTGTTTAACAATGGTGCATATGTTGTATGTTTTTAGAGGATATACATGTTATACACTTGTGATGGTTAATTTGGATTTTTTCCACACATGTAGCTTTGTGTAGTACTTACCATCATGAAAGAAGCCACTATTAGCAATTCTTCAATGACAACAATTTAGTAGTTACATAGTAACAGCCATTCATTTTTCAATAAAGTTCAACTTTATTAAGAAAATAATTTTAATTTTCTATGTATACAATATTTTAATCTCAAATTGATAGCAATAATCATGTTAAATGCATTTAAGAAATTACCTAGAATATAGTTTTGAATGCTTATTCTATTTTTCAGTTAGAGTTAGATGCAGGAATGAGAATTTCTTGCCAATCATCGATCTTGCATATTCTGCTGAAAACCTTTGTTACAAGTCCCATAAGCAAACACTGGAGTCTAAATTTCTGCCTGAAAAACAGTCTTTCTAATTCAGGCTTGGCTCTGCTTTATAGATCAGCTCATGTTAGAACTACCATCTATGTGCTGTTGTAGTGTTCGTTTTGAGAGAAAAAATACTTCCAAAAGTCAACGATAAAAATGTACACAAGTTACATAGAATTTTTAACATCAGGTTGAAAGAATATTTTGTTGTGGAAAGTTATTGTCTTTCTGCACAAATATGGAAAATACAAAATATAGAAGCAGTAATGCTGATATTAATTCTGTATGATTATCTAAATATTAAGTTAAATGTACTAGGTTTGTTGTTGTTTTTTTTAAGATTTTTTCAACCTTATATATTCTCATCCCTAGGTGTCTTTTGAAAACAAAAACTTGTAAGCAAAATAATATAATACAAAAGATTAAATTATGTAGCTGCTGCCTTGGAACTTCTATTGTGTTGTGCTCCAATATAATTTAGTACCTGAATTTTATTGCATAAAACTTCATAACATAATTGGAGATGTTATTATGGAGTATGGTAAAGCATATCCTTTTAATATACAGTTATTTATATTTAACCATAAAAATCACCTCTGTGAGGCTGTTTGTAAAACACCGGTATTCAAGGAATGTGGGCTGTAGTCTTTTATGTTGAGGGAAACTTCTATTGGGAATTTTTGGATGCATGCTGTACCAATTATGTAATGTAAGATGTGAAAAATATTTGATTATATATTACATAAGCCTCATTAATTTTTTCAATATCTGTGAATTAAAGGTCAAATGTACTAAAATTGTATGATAATTTGTAGTTTGGTAAAATAATGGCTTAAAATTTAAAAATGTGTAGAGTCTATGGAACCAAGAAAAAGGTCTAGATAAGATGCTGCTTGTATCATTGCTTGTTGGTGATAACTTTGATAAAATTGCTTATAATTGATTTTTATTACAGCATGCCAAATCTCACAAATGGTATAGGAAGATGAAATTGCATAAGAGTCTTAAGGATATTATGTGGATGCAAATGCTACAGTTGTCACAAGTTACTACCAGAGGTGCCACTGTGGTTTTGCATATTTCCCACAGGTATAAATGGATCTTTCAATCACAGTACAACTTATTCAAAAAACATGAAATTGACAAGTATGCAGTGAGGTAAACTAATAAGATGTTATTACACCAAAGAATTCAGTGCTGAAGCAGCTGTCAGTAAATATCTTAAGACTGTGTAATAGCACTGTTATGTGCAAGTTCATAATAAAAAGTTGAAGAAGCAGGTTGCACTTGTGAAAAGTCATGTAGGCAAACCACTGACACCTATAGAAACTATTGTTGAGGTCATCTGTGCCAAAACAGAACAAGTCAATATGTTGTACTGTCTCTGGTGATGAGGTCCTCTGGACTCTCCAACTCATTTTCCCCTCCTTTCTCCTATTGGAGTATGGAACTCCTTGCTACTTACCAGTTGACAGTAGGGCATTGGCATTCTGCAGGTGTCGATGGTGTGTAGCACTTCCTACCATCCTCCGGCTTGTACATTCGCTGTGGGTCTGGTGTTGTTTGGAGATGGCCTTGTCACAATTAGAATCATGTGATGACTATATATATATATATATACACTGCAGTTTGCCCCTCAGGCTGAGACATTCCTCCTATCTACCATTCTCTGGATGCAGTTCCCAGGGAGTTGGGTGTTGGTTGGAGATGGTCCAGCTAAGTAAGTCCTCACATTTGTTCTGACTGCTATCTCTCCTCCTACTGTGGACTGGGGGAAAAATGGCTAATGCCACTAGGTTTTGGACTGTAGATGCACCCCAGGTTTGCGGTTCCTCTTTGTACTGTCTGCTGGATGTCAGTTACCAGCAGATCTGGTGTTGGTTGCAGCTGGATGCAGCACATGTATTCCCACTTGTGTACAGCTAGGTATCCTCCTCCTACCATGGACTAGAAGAACCATAGCCAATGCCACCAGAGATGTCATCCCACCAGGGCTTTCCTCCCTTTTACCACCTGCTGGATGTCGGTTCATGGTGAATCAGGTGTTGGTTGGGTTGGAAGTGCGTGCAAGTCAATATGGATTTTAGTAAAGAAGCTCATTTTCCTTAGCAATTTCAATTTGAGGTAAAAAGGTAGGTGATCCTCTGCCTACCACAGAACTGTTGTCCAATTCCAGATACTGCCAGGTGTTGGATGAGGTCAAACTACCACTACGGTCTGTCGTGCCCTAGCCACTTGACACCCAGGGGTCCTATTAATTGGTAATACATATCATGGGATTCCTTCATGTTTTCTGCCTTTTATGTTTGTGACACAGTCATGACAGAGTGAAGAGTATACCTAGATCAGATGTTTTGTGGTTTCCTACTGAGGTGTAATATTTTCTTTTTTGGTTCCACACCTTATGGTCTCTCTTTGGGTGCTTCCTAAAGGGGGGCTCATTTTTTCACCAGCACGCTACCAATTCAGTGTGGGACTCTAGCTATTTTGTGAGATGAGGTAAGATATTGTATCAGAAGTTAGCATTTTCCTAAACTGCAAATGTATTTCCAATAAGTACTTACCTCCTCTCACATTTCCCACCCAGCCTCCCCACTTCCAGTGATATGTGGTGTAGGTCTTCTGACCAATCTTGAAGTGATTAACGAATGCAACTGTGGAGAGGATGCTGGTTACAATATAAGTTGTGGTCCTATTGGTGGAGAGTTGATGTATAATCATCTGCATATGGATATGCAGAAGCAGGAGGTGGAAGGCTAGTGGCGAGCATTGAAAATTTGCACCGATAGAAGGCAGTACTAATTGAGAAAAGCTATTTTCAGTTTACGAAAATGTTAACTTTCACCTGTTTGTATGGCTCTTTGATTAACTGTATGAATATTTCCTTACAAGCTGCCTCATGTTTAAACACTGAAGGAGATAGATTTAACTTAAAATATTGGGTTTTTTTTGTGGATAGTTCTTGGCAAGACTGGAAGTTAATGACCAATGGCCTACCAATATCTTACAGACTGATGAAGTGCACATCGCCCTTTCCGTTTCAACATTCACAACTACATCATCTGCATTTAACATTTCATCTGCACCTTCATGATGCTAAGGTTATGTGTAGTATGGTTTCACAGCTAACTTTATTATTGGATCATACTTTTTTTGAAGAACCAATAATACATGAACTGTAAGTGTGCACAGTCATTGCTGCTTGGTATCATGCAATGCTCTTAACTTATGATATCCATCCTGCAACAATGAAATCTGATTGACACTATTTTCTATGCAGGACAGTGCCCCTACTCATACTGGTAACCAAGTGAAACAAGTCTTGTTGGGCTCTTTTGGAACAGAATCATTTCATGTCACTTTCCTTGTGAATAACCACCTCATTCACCAGCTGAAATCTGCTGAGGAGTAACTGAAGTCATGCATGTAATATGGGAAACCTTGCACAATTAGAGACCTCAAGGATATAATTGTCTGGGAATTTAACCAGCATAACAGATAAGATGTGCATTGTTGTTGTAATGTCTGTTGTCACAAAAATGCAGTGCAGTCTAGAAGATGTAGGAACACATTTTAAACAGTTGCTGCAATTGATCAGACATTAGGTCATTGTGGTGCCTCTGGTGGCAATGTGTGAAAATTGTGGCATTTGCATCTGCATGATATCCTTAACACCCATATACAATTTTACTATCCTATACTATACTGTTTGTAAGATATTACCTGCTGAACTACATAATTTTCTTTGTAATCACCCTTTATATGTATGTGATTTTTTTCAGTATAAGAAAAATATATATATAAATGCTAAGTGTATGCTCATCCTTATACTTTATTTTTTCCATAACCTAGTCATTTCTTTGTAGATTAATTCTTCTCATAAAAAACCTTTTTTCATTAGCTTTTCTCAGCTTATATTGAAAACGGTTAATAAAAGTTTTTTGAAATGTATAACAAATAATCTATTATAATTAATGAGGCTGAAAACATCCACAAAGAAATGACAACAGCAGTAGTTTTCCAAAAACAACCTGAAAGTTGTGTTTATTGTTGGTTTTCCTAGTTTCCTGTGGTGATAACAAAAAATCCTGGGTTAGGCTTTAGTATTGCAGGAGGAATTGGAAGTCCCAGAAACCCTAATAAACCTCATGACACAGTAAGTGGGACACAGCACTAATATTCCTGATATAAAGTACAGTATTATTGTTAATAATGTGTCTTCACAATCAACCTCATCACATTCTTATCAATTGCCCATTTTGTCATTACATGAAAAAATAAAAATTCTATTGAATTTTTTTTTTTTTTCATTAAGTACAAATATGTTATTTCACATCAGATAACAACTTTTACAGCTTAGTGAAGACTACAGTTTAAGTAGTATTTTGTGTAACTGAAACTAACTAGACTTAAAGCCAATACTACAATTCCATTTCCTTGGAATAAGAAATTTATATTTGTTTTAAGCACTAGAAAACTGAATTCCCGAGCCACTGAAAAATTCGGTTTTAAGTTTTTGGTAATGAAACTAATTGAAAATAAAGCCAGTTTATGTGTATTTTATGTTCTATAGATATTAAGAAATGAAACTTGTAGTTTATAAATACCAATATCTGAACTCAACAGTAAAAGAAACTAATCAATAATCACCCTAATGCTGCTGTTTCCTTCATTTAAACTTTTTAAACATGCAATCTTTTGCCCACAAAACTTTGACTGGCTGAGAATTAGTTGATGACTAAATAACATTGCTGTTTTTTGTTTTTTTTTGTTTTGTTTTTTTGCTTTTTTCTGAATTTCTTTATAAAAAATATATATAATTAATGTATTTGACTAAAACATTCTTCTTTAAATATATATTGATATTTACAGTATTTACAAGTCTTCATAAATCTAAAATGACTTCTAACATTTTATTATCAGGTTCATTTATTTTAAACATATTATTAACACATTTAGTATAAATTTTTAGAAAATTATTTTAAATATCCATTTTCTGTAAAAGTGTAATAGGAATTAACAACATAATTTTATGGTAATTTCTGTGCCTACAAACCATCCATTCTTTGGGGCTTTAGGGCATCTATGTAGTGCATGTTCTAAGCAATGGACCAGCTAGTCCAGCCCTGAAACCAGGAGATAAAATTCTTCAGGTAACTTTCATTACTTTTGTAGTATATGTTTTAACTGAGAAGAAAGAGTTCTACTACTTGTGCAGCTGTTAAAGTTAATAAAACTCTTTAAGGTATTGTTTCCCATTTAAACTAACAACTAATACAAGCTGATGTTTTAGATATTAATTAATGCAGTAATTTCCTTTTTTTAAAGTACCATTTCATGTAAGTAATTTTTACAATGCTATTATACATCTTTTTTTTTTAAAGGTAGTAGAATTTATTTCTTATTGCTTATGTGATGATAAAAAGTTCTTGTTTACACATTTGTTTCACCATCAAAAATGTTTGTACCATGAATTGATTTTTTCTAATTAAGTCATGTTTATTACAAATAAAGAGAAAAGGATTTCAGTAGAAAATTTTTCAAACAGGGACTGAGTAAAATAATCTAATAAATATACTCATACTAAGTTTTCATTGTAGGTGGATGGTATTGACCTTACCAACCTGAGTGGTGAACAAGCTAATGCAGTTTTACAGAGTACTGGTACAAGTGTGTCAATGATGATTTCTAGAGAATAAGGAGACAGGTGAGGATCAGGAAGGAGAAAAATTTCATTCAGTTCATCAATCATTAAACAAGTCTAGGATTACAGACGCAAATATAGAAAAACAAATATTCTCTCTAGAATCCTGAGGTGATTAAGAAAGCAGAAGACAGCAAAGGTTGTTGGGTATGAATTTATGTTTCAGAAACTTGTAGTTTTGTTAAAAAGGTTAAAAGATATTTTGTACTTCTTGAGTAACAATAATTTTGTTCGGCCAAAAAAGGTGGAAGAAATGTTTAGAAATCTGCAACAGTTAGTCCTTTTGTTTTCAACACATACACACACACATACATATATATGTATTAGGAGAGAAATGATTTGAAAATCTTTTTATGTTGTTAAACGTTTTTGATAATATTATAAGCTTTTGTTGCTGATGAAATGCAGCATATGTTACTGACTAAGTGGATTGTTTTCAGTACTGTAAGTATTAGTAAAAGAATCAACTTTAGATATATATATAAATCAAAAACATTACAAAGAGACTTAAAAATCAAAATTTATTTTTTCATTTCAAGTCCTTTTTGTCATCATTAAAACTCGTAACAGATAATGTCTATTGTCATAACACCCCCAATACGTTGGGGATATTCCATCTATCAGACAAGATCCGGATGCCAATGTCAAACTAGCCAACAACTACGGAAAATCAGTTAAGGGTGAGGTGATGAGTGCTTGAACCCACAATGTCTCAACTTCTACTGTCTTTTGCTGTCTGCAGCCAGTTGTGGGAGGGGAGTTACTCTTAATATTAGTCCCCTTATGGGACAGCAGTAAGTCTTCAGATTTACAATGCTAAAATCAGAGGTTCAATTCCCCTCGGTGGACATAGCAGATAGCCCGATGTAGCTTTGCTATAAGAAAACATACACACACACTTAATATTTAGATACAACCTTAAATAGAAATAAACCATCCTAAATTTCTACAATATAAAACTCCCAATCTCCACCCTTTTATGAGATATACAAAAAGGGGATGGGGAATTAAGAATTAAAGTTAGGGTTTTAGTTCAGTTTAACATCATTTTCTAATTATTAAATGAAAGGATGGAGATTGGGAGTCTTCTAGAAAAATAGGGTGGTCTATTTTTACTATAAGAATATTTTAGCTTTTTTGTACATCTCATAAAATGGTGGATATTGGGAGTTTTATATTGTAGAAACTTAGGGTGGTTTATTTCTACTTCAAGGTTGTATCTAAGTGCTAAGGGTAACTACTTTCCCACAACTGGCTGCAGACAATGAAAGGCAGTAGAAATTGAGACATTGTGGGTTCAAGCACTCAACTCCTAACCCATAACTGATTTTCCTTAGTTGCTGGCTGTTTTGACACTGGCATCTGGATCTTGTCTGATAGATGGAATATCCCCAATGTGTTTGGGTGTTATGGCTACAGACATTATCTGATATGAATTTTAATAATGACAGCAAGGACTGGTAATGAAAAAATTAAGTTAGATGTAATGTTTTTGATTCATAATAATTTCATCATTATTGTTTGATAGTGTTGATTAAAAATCACCTATTTACAATGAATGTATTTGATAGCTTTAGAAATATATGTTTTTAAATGGCTTTATATGGCAGTTTCTGTAAAACTATCTTGAAGTTTTTAGACTTGAGTATTATGGGTGGGAACTTATTGGCACTTCAGTCTATAGCTAATAGTTTATTGTTAAATTATACTGAAGTGTATAGGCTTGTGAAGATAATTAAGTAAAACTTGTATATCTGCATATCAGACACACAAACAAAAAGAAGAAAGGACTGTCTAACTGATGTTATATTTTCAATCTTCAGATGACTGAACCTTTGTCAGGCTAAATGACAGAGCTACAGACATTACACAAAGTAAAATCAGTTATTCATTGATGTTTCTACCTTTTGTTTGTCTCTGTTTGGTTATTGTTGCAACATTGTATGAATTGACTATTTGCTTACTTGTTTGTATTTTAAATAAGGTCATAAACAGGAATTGTGTAAAAGTCAAGTGTTACCAGATAAAGCACATGTTTGAAATTCTTAACTATATTAATACATGCATTAATACATGCATTGATGTGTAGTTTTGAGTATTTTAAACTTTGGTGTTGTGTATATGTACAATAATGAAAAGAGAATTTTACTCTTAAATTTATTGTAATATATGAAACTTAAAGATGATTGTTAAAAAGGAAGTTAAATATTTGAAGTACATCCTCTTTGTTGTGTTTGAATTTACTGCACTTTGTAGATGTAAACTCCTTGATGTCCACCTGATTATATAGGCTAATATAATAGGGTGCATGATTTTCTTGTTGATTCTGACCTTATTTTTGTGGATTTATGTTGCTGTAACTGAATGTGATTATTTATTGTTTTCTGATACAGAGTAATTTTGTATCCTTATAAACACTATAAAATTCCAAAATCTTTTAAGTATACACCAGACTAAAGTATCTAACTAAATGTACTAAGCCATTCCCTTTACTTTGGTTCAACTCAGTATTTTCCATTTAGTAGTAGTAATGCTTGTAGTCTTGACCTTTCACTCATTGTTCTTCTAATCTTCATATTTTAAGTATGTAATAAAGACAGTATAAACCTACTGGCTACCCGAATAAATACTAGTACTGTTTCAACAAAGGTAAGTAACTGTTTTGAGTTTTTTTCATCAGACAGATCTACAAGCATTGTAAGAATTTTTTTTTGATTTTTAACAAACAGTTCATATGATAAAAGCATTTTTCTGCTAAATCACATCCTATTTGTGTCACATTTCATTTCCTACAGTGTCACAAATTTTTGTGACATCTTATTCTTTACTGGTCATTGGAGAATAGTAACATATTGTTTTGTGGTTTCTTAGAGTATTTGTGAGAAGGTAACATGTGAAAGTGGTACAAGAACAAGTAATCATATATATGAGTGTTATCTAACAGAAAATAGTGGTAGTTGCTTATATGATCAAGATCTGACTTTCATATAATTCCTGTTTAGGTCATGAAACATGGAAGATATTGCTCAATGAGTTTTAAGCTAACCTCTTAATAATATGGAATAAAAAAGAATTCCTGGTCATATTTTAGAGGACTTAGCAGAGTAAGCTGTAGATAGATGCATATACACATGTTTGTGTAAAAGTAGCTCACTCACCCCTGCTGTTTGCACAGTAGACCTTATGTCCATGTGGAAGCACTCATCTTCATGTGTTCATATCACTGGCAAGTTATACTTTAGCTTAAAAGTTGCCATAACGAGAGTAGAGTACAAAAAAATAAATACAAGAATCTGAAGTTCTTTGTTTTGCCAACTAATGATCAAATTTTATAAGTTAGTTGCTTTTGATAAATGAAGCTAGTAAAATAGATAATAATAAAGAAATGTCTGGGAAAATGTAATCAACAAATGTGTAGTTATAGTTAATTGCATGTAGAAAGGCATAAGAAAATAATGATTTAGACTTGTGTTTTGCTCTAATCTTCCAGTTACTGAATTTTGCTACCAGTTCCCCTTAGACAATCAGTGATGCCTGGGTAACATCACTTTTGGTGGTATAACATTTAGTGTTAGTATTAAAAGGACTGTTATTACTTGGAACCATGTAATTGAATAGACAGCCTGAAGTTCAATAAGAACTAAAAAATTAGTTGACAGTGATATCATTGAATGTTTACCTATTAGTAGTTGTTATTTCTGTAAAAACATGCCACAAATGAATGTTTAGCATATTAATATTCAACTCAAAAGTCTTTTGAGAACTTTCTTGTATTGGCAGTGCAAGCAAATAAAAAAATGAAACTTTAACACTCTAGCTGAAACACTAGTAAGTTAAAAATAAAGTTTAGCTAAAAACTGGGTAACAAGAATTGTATGTAATAGTGTGGTAACCACAGTATAAGGTGCAGGCAGTTAATTTTTTATTTCTTTGTAAACAAGATTAATCTGTGACGTTTTAGAATCAAATACCACTATGTTTGCAGTTTTTCTACTGTTGTAATCTATTCTCATCACCAGGATATAGTGAAGTATTATTTGACAGATGTTAATGATTTTAAGTGCTTATGAAACACTGTCAGAATTTATTATATACCTGTACTTTATGAATCAACACTGCCACTTTGTAACTAGAACGTGGATATCAAATAGTGAATAAGAACACGTATAACAATATAATGATGTGTTCAGAGTTTCTCCGATGTTAAATTTTGTTGTTGTTTTTTTTTTTACAAAACTATTTAAGGCATTTCCATGATTTTCTATGTGAATGTCTTGTACAAATATTTTCCATTCATTTTCCTATAACAACACCTGAAAAGTTGAAGACTTCAGTAAATAATAATTATGGAATGTGGAAAAATTAAATCATTGTACTATTCCCATATGTTACTGAAATTATAATTAATATAGCTTTTTTACAATAAAGTAAAAGAAAAGATACATTTAAATCAAGATGTTTTGTGGAAAGTGGCTTACCACTAAGAATCAAACAGGGATAGTCTTGAAAGAAATTCTGAGTTTTTTACATGTTTGTTTGTGTAGGTTTTAAGGATTATGTAAATTATATAATAATTTTTCTTTATGAATCTCAGCCATTCACGTAGGCCCTACTGTACCTGAACTGTTAATATGTTTATCACTAAAATTAGGCAATCTCTCCATGTACATACTTGAAAAAATGTATAATCTCATTTGATAGTTGATGTAATTCATACAGCTGCATATGTAGATACCTAATTTTGGCTTGCATATCCCTATCACTCAAGTACTGCTTATTCCAAATGTAATTTAACAAAATTGTTGTTTGTGCTTTTTCGCATTATATATATTGCATAACCATGTACAAAGCCACTCCTGTTTCTCTTATACCTTGCAGCATGATGATTATGTGTTTGTATACTTGTGGTCTCTTTCTTAATCTATGAATTCGTATAACATTATATGTTCTTACAACACACAAAATTTGTGTCTAATTTATTACCCATCTTTATTTGCATGTGTTTTCATACAAAATATACATATATAGAGATAACGTAAGAAGTTAAATTTAACTCATAAAGCAAAGAGAAAGTTATATAGAAGCATCACAAGATTCTTAATGAACTTAAGTGTCAAATATACAAAAAACTGGTGTCACATATATATGATAGACAAACAAGAGGAGAGTACAAATTATAGATTGAGAATGCTAAAATGTGTGTTTTAGTAGGAAAAGTTTCTGAAGAATTTAGACTCACTTGATGGTAAGAATACACAGTCTGTTAGAACTGTTTTTAAGTTTGTTGTATATATATTAATCTAATCACTTATTATTTGCCAAGAGATACTAACCTTGTTTGAAGGGAAAACAGAGTCTGAAAACACCATCTCACAGTGGGTCATTTGTATGTTTATGGCCTTAAAATCCAAACTTTGATATCTCCACAGTGGACAGAGCACAGATATCCAATTATGTAGCTTTGCACTAAAATGATCAAACAAACTCTGAAAAGACCAGAG